ATGAAAACATATCTACTCATACATTTTATTTTGTAGTACAGATTCACCTCTGATACTGATTTAGAACAAAACACCCACCAAAGTGGTCACTGAGATCTCATAGTCTGGAACTAGCTGCCACTACAGCCACCAGCACATGGGCTCCTCTGAACCCATATTTTTCAGAAAAGTTACCTGAGATGCTGTTAGAAATGGAGACCTAGTAGAAAATGAAACCAATGAACCGAGGCACAAGAGGACAAAATTTGATTTTTATACCACAGAAACGGGTACAGAACTTATATAAAAGCATCTACCCACACCACATTCGCAAAATAAAGTAAAAAAAATTTGCTTGGGAGACTCATTTCTGTTTTCAGATTGGATCCCAAGGTTTCAATAAGATGTTCTGCTAGTTTCTCAAGAACCTGGCCCATTTATCACTTTTTCAAACTACATCATCTTCTCATTCAAATATCTCAGTGGCTCTTGTAAAAAATATGTCACACATGTCTCTACTGTCAAGGTTTATCTCTAGCACAATATGTAACCCACAGATCGCAAACAAGATGTAGCCTCTCAGAGGGGACCGCAGTTATCCCAGAGTCTGCTGATGGTGCCTGGTAGTGTCAACATCAGGAAGAGGATGAGATGAACTCACAACCCGCCCAACCTGGGATTTCTGAAGGCACAGTACGGCGAGGTTTGGTTAATTCAAGCCCAACAATGCTGATTTCACAAAATTCAGTAAAGATTTGGGCTGAAACAAAATGTGAAAATTGTCTACTAGACATTAAAGAATTACTATGCATATGAATGCATAAATAAGGTTGCTGAGGTAGAGTTTAGCCATTTTAAAAGGGGGACCACAGCAGTTTCAAAGACTCCTGATGGCTGAAGTGCGTGGGCCGGTGCTCAGGATGTGTCTGTACAATGACTCGCATGGACCTGGGCTCTAACTCTGGCTGTGCGGTCTCAGCCAGGCCACTCCTTGGCCTCCCTTACAACATTCGGGTTCATAAAAAGGGAGGGACAAAGCTCTCCTTGCTGGTCTTTCAGGGTTGCTAAGAAACCAAATGAGACATTGTCTGTGGCATTACTTTCTTAAACTGCAGTAGTACATAAAATCTGAGCTGCTACTATTTTTTTCATATACTAATGCTAATCATAGATTATCTATGTATTAAAATTGGCTGGTTGACTTTCTATTGGGTAAGTCCAATAAGCTTCTTTTCTTATTTCTGAAGATAAAAAACCTTTTGTTGTTTTTTGAAGATGCATGTGCTTCTACCTTGACTTAAATTGTAATTGCTTGAGAAGTAGCTATGAGATGGCAAAAAAACCTAGTTGAAATACTGATGAAAACGGAACACTCCATGTTTCCTTAGGCTGCATAGCTCATTAGCTGTACAAGCAGGGAAAATACTCGGGCGTTAAGATCCTGGAAAATCACAGAAGGCTATTCTAACGTCAAATGACCACAGACACAGAGCAAGGTAAAACCAGAAGGTAAAACCAGCAAGGCTTCCAGAGCCATTTGGAAGCAAATGCCAACATATCTACAATGGAATTCAGGAACTCAGCACAAACGTTTCTGTCTTAGCAAAGTGATAAATAGGCATTTAAGCCAAATTTGATCCAAGTTCACAGAGATTATATATATAGGAAAACTCATCAGGAAAACTTAACAGTATAAAAGTGGGAATTGAAGAAACTAGGTAAGGGATCTATGGGTTCTCCAAACTATCCTAGCAACTTCGTTATAAATACGGAATTATTGGCAAATAAAGTTATTTTTTAATGACCTTTTAATAAAGGTGGGGAAGCCTGCCTTTGAGCAAGGAAAGGGAAAAGTCTTTAGTAGCAGTCTACATAGGTCAATCTGTCAGGACTCTCAGACACATCATCTCACGTCATCCTCACAACTCTCTCTTGACACAGGTTCAAAAGACAAACTATGACTATTTCACAGCTAAAGAAACTCATGAAAGAGTGACTTTCTTGAGGTCCCACAACTTTTCAGAGTGATGACAGGATTCAGTTTTTGGTCTGCCTACAGAGTAAAGAATCTGGCCAAGCAGGCTGGGCGGGGTGGCTCATCACCTATAATCTTAGCATTTTGGGAGGAGAGCAAGAAAACTGCTTAAGGCCAGGAGTTCCAAGACCAGACTGGGCAAAATAGCAAGACCTCGACTCCACAGAAAAATGAGGAAATCAGCCAGGCATGGTGGCCCCCAGGTCCGAGCTACTCAGGAGGCTAAGGCAGGAGGAGCACTTGAGCTCAGGAGGTCAAGGCTGCAGTAAGCTGGAATCATACCACTGCACTCCCTCCAGCCTGGGCACTAGAGTGAGACTTCACCTCAAAAAAAAAAAAAAAACAAAAAAAAAAAAAAAAACTGTCCAAGGGCCTAAGTGGGCAAGGTGGGCTGCCCTAACCCACTGGACAGGCTCACCCAAAGTTGTGCCAGTGAGTCACTCAAAGGCCATCAAGGAGCCTTCCTTCCTTAACTCAGGAAGTGACATGGTCTGCTCTTCAAAAGGGAGTTGAGAGATGCATCCAAAAATGGATGTCCTGGTTCCTCATGGGAAATCTCAACATTGGTAATCCCTTCTTACAGCAAGGCCACCTGGAAATTCCCTCACAACCTAAGCTGCTGAAGACTCACTATAAAGCTGTTACTGAGTCAATGCCAGGGCCATGGCTTAATGGAGTAGGAAACTGACAAGCACTGAATACATGAAAAAATACGAAATTACAGGGCCAGTCATAAACTGGCTCCTTTTCAGCAGAGCCTCCGGAAGGCTCCTGGGTCAGAGTCCCTCTCTGCCTGACGTCCTCTCTGTGCCACCAGAGGGCACTAACTCATGGAACTGCTCTTTAAAATCAGGTCACACACAAACTGCAGGAATGTTGAATGAAAACTAGCCTTCAAATCAATGAAGTGCTAAGTATGTAATTTTGACAGTGTTATAAGCATCTACTGGTCAAAATTTTCAATTTAATTCTACAAAACTTAAAAGTACACACATGCAGCAGAAGAATATACTAAACACAGTAAGTTGATCAAACCTTCAGATTTATGAAAATAACATATAAAATAAATAAAAGAGTGATGCATTTGCTCCTGCATCTCTGGTCACAGGGGCTGTCAAATGGATAACCCATCCCAGCGTTTTTTACACACACACAATATAAGAGTGCCAAGAAAAACATGTTGATTTCTCCTTTGCTTTAAAAAGCCACTCTTCATTGAATTAGAAGTGGACATTAACCATAATAAAATTACAGTACCGTTTATTAAGCATGATTAAAACATGATTTAATCTTCTGTACTAGAACCCTCGTAAGACAAGCAGCAGACACTGACGAGTGTGCACTGCGGCCTAGCTTGCTGTTCTAAGCACATCCCACTTACTTTACTCCCCACATCCCTCTGAGCGGTGATACAATTCCATTTTAATAAAAAGTTAGTTCAACCTTGCATTTCTTGAATGTAATAAATTTTTTTTTTTTGAGACCTAGTCTCACTCTGTCGCCCAGGCTGGAGTGCAGTGGCGCAATCTCGGCTCACCGCAAGCTCCGCCTCCCAGGTTCACACCACTATCCCACCTCAGCCTCCCGAGTAGCTGGGACTACAGGTGACCACCACCAAGCCCAGCTAATTTTTTGTGTCTTTTAGTAGAGACGGGGTTTCACCATGTTAGCCAGGATGGTCTCGATCTCCTGACCTCATGATCCACCCACCTTGGCCTCCCAAAGTGCTGGGATTACAGGCATGAGCCACTGCGCCTGGCCAGTAATTTTTCTTTACATCTGTATCCTCTGCTTGTGATTTATTTGCCCATGAAACTATAAATACAGATTTGTGAGTTCTGCCTCATTAACCGCTTCCTACAATTATTTCTTCACCCCAGAATTCATACTTCTTATACTTTCATAAGCGTGTAAGATTATATAATCAAAATAATTCAGCGATCAGTTGAATAAAAAATGCACCATGACCAAAGGGTTTTTGTTTCACTTTGCTTTGTGGTATGTAAAAAATTTAGCCTTTCCTTTTATTTAAAAGGAACTGAAACAGCTTTAATTGTCTGATCAGAAATACTGGTTACTTCTCTATGTAAAACAAAATTCAAGTTCAATTGGACCTTGGTTTTCCTGATTTTAGTTGATTTTCCTCAGTGTGTAATAAATAACTGAAGTTTACACTGAAATGAACAAAATCTGACAAATTATACCTGAAAAGAAGTTTCAGTTCTTTAAACAATTCGTCACAAGTTAGTGCTACAAATAAACTCACCTTGAGATAACAGCCTACATCACAGGATACTGTCTCCTTGGTTTTTGTTTCTGTTCTTTGCTTAAAAAAAAAAAAGAGAGAGAGAAAAAGAAAAGAAAAGAAAAAAAGAAAAACTTTCTCAAAGGTTTTCAAGAACAATATTGGTATTCTGGCCTATGCCAACACACAAAGAATAAAGACAGGGAACCATGGCATCTGTGAAGGTATCTGGAACAAAAGTACTTCTGTTAATATTCTCTAAGTAATTGTCTCCAACTTTCCTCTATATCTTTTTTAATGCCCACTTGATCTAGAAAATGTTTTGATTTATCTTGTTTACGTGATGTCAAAATTTATCTTAAATAAGAGAACCACTAAGTATTTGCCTGTTTCCTGCCTCTCTTTTATTTCTCCATGTTTCTTTCTAGACTCTCACTAGATGTCGATATTACAGTATTCCAGAGACATACATGAGTCATGTTTCTATGCATCTCTGTCTTCTACTTCTTCAGGAGACACCGATATCATCACATATAGTAAGTCTGTAATTCATAATTCCAAAGTCCTGATATGCTCCAGCTTCTCACAGCACCCTGAACTAGGCTTCCAGTTACTTCAATCACAACAAAAGCTTTATGCTTCTTTCCAAACTTTCACTGCTTTATCATTGGAAAAGGTCTATGTAAATGGCAAGTTAAAGGAAAAACATTCAGAAAGGACGCGACGCAAGTGACCCACGCATTCGTTCAACAGCATTTATTTAGACTCTGCACTGTGTCCGCACTGTCCTATGCACTGGAGATACACGGAGACAAGACAAAGGCCCTGCTCTCATGGAGCTTCCATTCTCATGAGAAGATGGTAACTGACAGGAAAACATACCACCGCTGGGGCAGGTGCTAGTAAGAAAAAGGCAGCTTGCTGAGGGGACAGAGTGGCATCACGGATGGTCACGGAGGCCTCTGGACCGGGAGGCGTGTGCACAGAGCCCTGCTCTCCAAAGCTCAGTCAGGCTGCGGAGCTCCTTCATAGTAACTCCGGATGAGACAAGAGTAGGTCACTTTATTCTATTTCATTTTTAGTAACATTCGGTTCAAATTAATTTGGGGTTTTGAGAACAGTTAATTCACTAATAGAACTGTCTTAAAGCCAGACATGGGGCTGGCAGGATGGGAAAGCTCTCCCTACGAACTCTGCCAGCTTTCATTCCAATGTGTCAGCCCTCACGGCTCCAGCTCTGTGGATCCCTCTTCTTTGCTGCGCCCATGAACAAGTGTGTGGTGAGAGCCTGAAATAAATAGGTGTAAAATGGGTCAAAACCGTTGCTTCTATTTCTGTTTTTAACTGAAGAAAATTTGCCCCATTTCCAGAGGCAGAGAGAGAAGGAGACATCTAGGTAAAGGCAAACTAAAGTATATATTAAACACACACAAATGTATACAGATGAACAGGTATGTATCTACCCGCACCCACATACTATACACGTGTATATACAACCATATATGTCTGACTTCTTCGCCTATGACAATCCAAAACTGGGTCTCATACAATGCTCTTTTTGCAATCATTACAGCATAACTTTTATTGGGTTGTAGGTTTTATCTTTAAAAGGCCACGAAACTTTTTTAAAAGATCAAATAAAAAATTAAAGGTTCAAAGAAGATCAAGGCTCAGATTCAATTAACACTAATTTTGGAAGGATTTTTTTTTACTTACTATGCATATTCAGCAAACTACTTAAGTTTTGGGTTTTTTTTCTAACATAGCATCCTAGGGGAGTCATTATGTACAATCAACTCGCTAATTCAGATTAACATGTCTAAGTACATATTGATACAACAGAACACAATGATTCCAGAGGTTCCCTGCTACAGACTCTCTGCTGAAGCACAGGACTAAGAAAGTGGACTTCTCCAATTACATTTCCAGCACTTCCCATTGTTACTTCCTGGGCCAGTTTCATAGATTAGAAGAATATAATACTCCAAAGGGATACTCCAGTTTCCATGAACAAAACGACTAGCATCTCCTAATTAATGTAACATCCTAACAAGTGAAAGATGACTTCTACAGGGGCCCTTAAAATGACCAAAAATGCAGTGAAGCTGAAGGCAAGCCACAGATCTGTTCTTTCATTTCCCTCCCTATTCTGGGGGAAAGGTCAAAAACGGAGTGGCTTTAGATAAAACACTCCACACTGTGCTCATGAGTCTTCGTGGGATGAGCTGGGAACATGTGTGGAGGGTTCTGCCTCATTTGCTTCCGAAATTTGGGACTGATTTCCAACCAAACCTCAAATCAACTGAATATCAGCACGACTGTTTAATTCCAGCGGACCAATGTGAGTAAAACATCACATTCAGGCCTGTGTCCATTGCGCACAGGCCAGTGACTTTCACAAACCTAGAACAGGTACTAAAAAGAATATGCTGTGAAAAGAGCTGTGGGCTTCTTAAAGGGAAAGCACTAGTGACATTTATGGCCTATTTCCCTAGCAGTTATTCAACTAAATAATTAGTTACTTAAGATATCAGCACAACAAATGGAAGATTTCAAGGCAACCAAATGTCAATTACATTTTTTTTACATAAAATACGAGTTCCTCTGGAATCAGACAGCAGCTTCTGACTTGTTTTCCATTGCTCTTTGCACATTTGCTTTCTGCTACCAAAATTTTAAGACCTGTATGAACAAAAACAGTATTTATTCTTCTCTTCCTCCAAAACACTTATTAAGTTTACATTTTGGGCTTGAAGGTACGTTTACCCCACTGTCACTTCCCCCATTCATCCACCCATAACCACGTGCAGATGGTGGGCTCAAGGAAAACAAAAACGAGGGAGGCCCAGCACCTTTGCCCAAGGAGCTCCCACTTGAGTGGAGTAAAGACGCCAACAGAAATAAATCACAATATGCTATGGCAAGGGCCCTCACAGGACATGGGAAGCAGGGCCCAGGGTAAGAGTGAACCAAAGGACAGGCTGTGCTGAACACAGTTCCCAAGAAAAAGGGCATGGGAGGAGTGGCATGCGGGCTGCCCTCCAGAGGAAGGGCTGGTGCAGAGAAGGGAAAAGCAAGTAGGAATGGACAGAAAAAGTGTCCACACATCAGGAGAGGGGAGGGGAGGGGAGGAAGTAGGTGAGCTGCAGCTGGGTGGGGCATGTTGCACTTCATCAGGAAGGGGTGGGTTTGGTATTTCTCTGCTTTCACCTGCATCTACATTCAGAGGTAGGAGTTTCAAATTAATGAATATTTTATTAGTAGAGACAAGTCCAAATGACCAGAAAAAGAACCACCAGAGCAATGCCATGCATGCGGACTCTGCAGCCTGAAGACGAGGGACGGGAACAAAGGCTTGCCTACTGCAGACCAAATACCTGCCCTGGTTAAGGCTATGCTGGCTATGCTGGTTAAAGTGTAAGTTTCAGCAGCAAATTTCTGAAGGAATGCATGAATTACAAGTTTAAATGTTATACTTTGGATGGTCTGAGCATTCTAATGACTCAGGTATAAATAGAAAATAATTTTTTAAATGTCAAAACTCTCACTTTCCTAATTCCCTACACATACACACTGACCTTCACTTTCAAAGAAACTAGAATTGTGTGTGCGCCAAATTAAATTATACTAACAATGCCTTTAAAAAGCTAATATTTTTTAAAAAGCAAATACTTCCATAACATGTGTTATAATTTACAAGTGGTATCATAAAATAGCTCTTCTTTTGCTGGGATATATTCCAGTCCATTCATCATAAAGATTTCTGTGTGAGGGGTGACTCTGTAAGCAAAACACCATTTAGTGGGAAGAAAAACCTCAAAACAAATTACAAGAAAGCCATTAATGTTCTTTTAATTTCTTGCTTAACTTTCAGTTCTTGGTATCCATACACTTCCTCATCAGATGGAAACATTTTAATTAGAATAAAGAGAGTTTAAGAAAATGTATGTAATGAGTAAGCTTTCATTATTACTAAATGGCATTAACTGAGCTTTCTGTCATGTGAATACAATGGTGCGGGAAGGAGAATACTTTGTGTAAAAGATAGGAAAGCAACACAGTTAATGATAAACCAGAGTCTCTGCACGCTCCCAGGAGATTTCCAAAGGTGGGGACACTGACATGCTCTAGACTACTTAAGACTGTACATTCCCAGGATTTTAGCACAAAATGAGTAAGTAATGATTCCTTCAACATACAAGGAATCCAAGAACACAGGGTTCATAAATACTTGCCTCAAAATGGGCTCGCTTCCTAACAGTGGGGTTTGTAGCATTTTTGAGGGTAATTTTTGAGAATTCTTCAGTTAATCATGATACTGCAGGCAACAAACTAAAGGGAACCTGAAGTAAGCTTAAACCTGATAAAGGTACAGAATCGGGGCAACCATTAACCTCTTCCTTGGAGGCTTTCATGAGAGGCTCACATGATTAAGATGAAAAGTAGTAACAGCATGTATGCTGCTGAGGACGCTTCTGTTTACTCTTTCAAAATATTTTACTTTTTCCGGGCCTACAAGGCTAAAAAATACCTGATATTATCAACTTTTATTAATCTTTAAAAACACATTGTGTGGATCAAAGCCAAACAAAATTGTGTGTGTGTATGTGTGTGTGTGTGGAGAATAAGCTACACTCTCTGCATGGTAAAAGCCTGCTAGGTTCAGCCATTGAAGCACATGACCTCTACCAACCGCCATAGTGTCCCCTCCTTCCTCTTCAGCCCTGCTCCCCTCAGAAGGAATCAGAAGTGGTTTTAGATCTACAAGGCCAATCCTTCATGACCCATGGCCTCCTTGTTCCGTTAACCACTTCCTCTGTGATAATCCTGGACTACACTCCGTGGCCATCTCACTAGCTGTCCAGTATGGCAGCCACCGAGCACCTGAAATGTGTCTACTCCAAATTAGAAGGTAATGGAAATACAAGACATATACCAATTTCAAAGACTTCATACCAAAAAAAGTAACATCTCAATTTTTATACTTATTTATACAATTTTACACTATATGTTCATGTAATGTAGACATATTGGGTTAAATAAAATATATTACAATGTATTACTAAAATTAGTTTCCTTTATTTTTACTTATTAAAAATATGGTTACTAGAACATTAAAAATTACACGTGACTCACTGACACTGCTACCGTACAGCAGAGCCCTTGACCTGATGTAACCAAAACTGACCGCTCCATGATACCGATTTCAAGCACTCTATTCTTCGACTATGCCTACTCCAGCAACTCCTTGACTCTACTCCTTGAATCCACTGACCCCATGACCTCTTACTGACTCTCAGCTCCTTCATGCCTCCTGGCTCCTTGCCTGGCTTAGACCACACGGTCTATCCTCAATCCTCACATCAACTCTTCTGCGCAATGCTCAACTCCCTTATGCCTCCTCCCTCCACTGTACTCACCTGGCAAAATCCTAATCCCAGGTTAAATCCAACTTCCCGCCCTCTCCTGCCCTACACTTAGGCTGCAGAAAGCGGAATTCCTTCAGAGCACCAGCTCAGCTCCCTATCCAGTCGTTTTTGCTTGAACCAGCTGGAACTGGGCTTTTATTATCATTTCACTCATACAGCTCTTATCAAAGTCACCAACGATCTCCCCGCTGCCAAGCCCACGGTGAAACCCCAGTCTGTATCTTGCTCCACCTTTCGCGGCATCTGACACAGATGATCACTCTGCTTTGAAACATGAACTTCCTTGGCCAGGCGCAGTGGCTCACACCTGTAATCCCAGCATTTTGGGAGGCCAAGGCATGTGGATCACTTGAGGTCACAGGATTGAGACCAGCCTGGCCAAGCCGGCAAAACTCTGTCTCTACTAAAAATAAAATTAGCCAGGCATGGTGGCACACATCTGTAATCCCAGCTAGGGAGGCTGAGGCAAGAGAATCACTTGAACCCGGGAAGTGGAGGTGGCAGCGAGCTGAGATCAGAGGGACATTATGTCTCAAAAAAGCAAAGCAAAGCAAAGAGAAACATGCACTTCCAGGACACCCCCATCTCCTGTCTTCCTTCTCTGATTGTTTCTCATTCTCCTTTGCTTCCCTTATACCCGCTTCCCCTTAACACTGGGTGTCCCAGGGCTCCACGTCTGGACTTCTCTATTGCACACACTCCCTAGAAAATTGCATCCAGTCCCACAGCTTTCAGAACCCCCTATATGCTGCAAACACTCAAAGTCTAGCTCCAGCTTCAGCCTGTCCTTGAAGTTACAAACTCAAACATACGACTGCCTATTCAACATCTCCACCTGGCATCCTACAGTCAACACGTGCAAAACACAACCTGCATTCTCTTCACCCCTCCTCCCCAACCTGCTGTTCTCAGTCTTCCTGATCTCAGTAAAGAAGAATAGCATTCTTCCAGTTACTCAGTGCAAAAACATGGTCATCATTTCTGACTCTTCCTATATGAATACAGTCTACCAGCTCTTCCTTTCAAACATATCCCATATATGACCACTTCTTCCCGCCCTCGTCCAAGCCACCATCAGTTCTTGCAACAGTCTCCTCACTGGTCTCCCTACTTCTATTCCAAACCAGGGATCAACAACTCCTTTCTGTAAAGGGCCAGACAGTATAGATCTTTCAGCCTCTACAGGCCATATGCTCCCTGTTACAACTACTTAGCTTGGCTGCAGCAGCTCAAAAGCGGCCTCAGATAATAAACACAACAGTGTGGCTCTGTTTCAATAGAACTGGAACTGAAGCAGACACGGAAATTTGAATTTCATATAATTTTCATGTGAAATAAAATACTGATGTTTTTTCAACCATTTAAAAACATACAAAGTATTCTTAGTTTGCTAGCTGTACAGAAACAGGCAGTGGGCCAGATCCTGCCATGGGCTGTGGTCTGCTGGCCCTGCCCTGGAAGATTCTCTACACTACATTCAGAGTGATTATTTTATTTTATTTTATTTTATTTTAATTTTTTTGAGACAGAGTCTTGCACTGTTCCCCAGGCTGGAGTGCAGTGGCACGATCTCCATTCACTGCAACCTCTACCTCCCGGGTTAAAGCGATTCTCCTGCCTCAGCCTCCCGTGTAGCTGGGATTACAGGCAACCACCACCATACCCAGCTAATTTTTCATATTTTTAGTAGAGACGGGATTTCATTATGTTGGCCAGGCTAGTCTTGAACTCCTGACCCCATGATCCGCCCGCCTTGGCCTCCTGAAGTGCTGGGATTACAGGTGTGAGCCATCACGCCCGGCCCAGAATGATCCTTTTTGTCATGTCTTTTTCCCGCTCAAAAATCCCCAGCAAAACCAAAAAACCATGCCAAGTCCTGCGGGACGCACAGGACACTGCTTCCTGGCTGCCTCACGTCCCCTGCCCCTTGCCATGCTCTGCGCATGTCATTCTCCCGGCTTCTCTTTCGCCCCTGCCAAATCTCTATCTATCTCAGGGCCTTTGCTTTTGTAGATCCCTCTGCTTAGAATACTCTCACTCTAGACACCAACGTGGTCACGGGGTTGCTTCCTTCAAGTGGTCACAGTGTTGCTTCCTTCAATTCACCTCATGAGAGATACTCACTCGGTCACACTAGAATAGCACACACAAACGGACATCCAAGAACCCTCTCCCTGTGTACCTTGCTGCACTGTTCACCACACTCTCACTGACATTTCTTTCTTTCTTTAGAAATAAACAGATTGGGCAGTT